TGCAGCCGTTATCCGCCATTACCCACTTTCTCTAATAACCCGGGCAACGCCGGGTCCCCAAGCTAGTATATAATAAAAGAGAATGTTTGTATCGGACAGAGGAAGGAGTATGTGGCAGCGTTCTGATTGGCTGCCGCTGCGGTGCTATTTGCATATGGTCTCTGATTGGCCACCTTCAATAGGAGCCCCTGGTGGAGAAGAGGGCTCATGGCAGAAACGGGGCATGACAGAAGGAAATTTGCATATGGTCTCTGATTGGCCAGCCTCAAATCCAACATTCCGAGATGAGAAAGAGAGGAAAGGAAAGGCCGGGGACTGGGTCAGAACACTCCCAATACAGATCGAAATAGGCACACAGAGCCCCCATCACCCACTCTACATCCTACTGCAGTTTGGAGGACTATGAACCATGGATGATGGGACTTGCAGTACCACCACTCACATTCTGAGACCGCTATTAACCTTATCCAATGATTGATCAGGACCAAACTTCGCACAGAGACCTCTCATGACCCACTTTACGTCCTGGTGTGGTTTGGCTGGGGATGGACCGTGGATTATGGGACTTGCAGTACCAATGCTCATTCTTCAGACCACTGCAACCCTCATCCAATTACCAAAAAATACCAAACTTGGCACACTGAGTCTCCATGACGCACTCTACATCCAGGTGCAGTTTGAAGGAGGATGCACCATGGACAATGGGACTTGCAATACCTGCACTCCCTTCCTAAGACCATTATAACTGCCAACAATGATGGATCAGGACCACAATTTACACAGAGAGTCCGCATAACTCACTCTACATCCTGGTGCGGTTTGGAAGAATTTGACAATGGATGATGGGACTTGCAGTCACTTCACTCACTTCCTGAGACCACTGAGACCCTCGCCAGTGACTAATCAAGACTAAACTTGGCACATGGAGCTCAATGACCCACTCTACATCCTGGTGCAGTTTGGAGGAGGACAGACCATGGATGATGGGACTTCAAGTACCTCCACTCCCTTCCCAAGATTGCTGCAACCCTCATCTAATGACCGAGCAAGACCAAACTTGGCACACACAGCCCCCATGACCCACCCTACATCCCGGTGCTGTTTGAAGGATGGACGATGGGTGATGGGACTTGCAGTACGTTCACTCACTTCCTGAAACCATAGCGACACTCATTCAAAAACCAATAAAGACCAAACTTGGAACATAGAGCCCCCATGGCCAACTCAACATTCTGGTGAGGTTTGGGGGAGTACAGACTATGGATGATGGGACTTCAAGTACCTCCACTCACTTCCCAAGACCTCTGCAACACTCATCTAATGACTGATCAAGTCCAAACTTGGCACACAAAACCCCCATGACCCACTCTCCATCCTGGAGCAGTTTGGAGGAGGATGGACCACAGATAATGGGACTCACAGTACCTTCACTAACTTCCTGAGACAACTGCGAGTCATATAAATAACTGATAAAGACCAACCTTGATACACAATTCCTTTCTCAAATAACCCGGGCAGCGCCGGGTCCCCAAGCTAGTGTAGATATATATAGAGAGATGGAGATTTATATAAGACCAAAAGATAAGAAACATAGCACTTTTAATTTCACATATTTTCACTCTCATGGACGTCCCATGCTCCTAAATCCAGAGGCTGTCTGATATGTGTTGTCGAAGGCTTTCATGGCTGGAATCACTATGTTACTATGATGTTTCACCCACATCTATGGCAGGCATCCTCAGAGGTTGTGCAGTTTGTTGGAAACTATAAACCCCACTTGCCTAGTCTCCAACAAACCTCACAACATCTGAGGATGCCTGCCATAGATGTGGGTGAAACATGAGGAGAGAATGCTTCTGGAGCATGGCCATTCAGACCAGAAAACTCACAGAAACCTAGTGACTGTATATAAATGAATAAAATAATTATAGTTCTGGTGCAGGCGATGTCTAGTTTGGGTTCTATGTATTTTCAAAATGTTTTTCCTACTTTTTCTCACATTTTTGTTCTGACTCTCTCACCAGGCTTGGCTACAGCAATATGGCTATCTACCACCGGGTGACCTTCGCACGCATACCCAGCGCTCCCCACAGTCGCTTTCGGCTGCCATCGCTGCCATGCAGCGGTTTTATGGGCTCCAGGTGACCGGCAAGTCCGACTCGGAGACCCTGAAGTAAGTAACTTTTCTAATTCTTTCCATCCTTTTTTTCATGTCTTGCAACAATTCTTCACTATTAGATTTGATATTGCTTTGGTTGCATGGACAACCAAAATTGCAACATTGCTATTTCTATGTATCGGTTAGGTAGAGTTTGGAAAAAAGTTACCATTTTGGAATAGAGTTTGCAAGCTAGCATGGCCAGTGGTTAGATTAATTGGTGGATTCTGGGAGCTGTAGTCCAGAGAAATAACTTTCAGTGCTTTGCAGTTGGATGTTTTCATCACACCTTGGTGGGAGGAAAACAGCAAAGAGAATGCAAGGACAGATGTTTGTATCTTTTGATGTAAACAGCTGAAAAATGTCATTTATGATGCCCTAAGGCAGACATAGAAAACTTCAGCCCTGTGGGTGTTTTGGACTTCAACTCCCACAATTCCTAAGAGACTCAGGCCCCTTCCTTAGGCTTGGGCAAACTTGGGCCCTTCAGGTGTTTTGTACTTCAACTCCCACAATTCCTAACAGCTTAAGGTGGAAAGGAGATATTGACAAGCTGGAATGTGTCCAGAGGAGGGCGACTAAAATGATCAAGGGTCTGGAGAACAAGCCCTGTGAGGAGCGGCTTAAGGAGCTGGGCATGTTTAGCCTGAAGAAGAGAAGGCTGAGAGGAGATATGATAGCCATGTATAAATATGTGAGAGGAAGCCACAGGGAGGAGGGAGGAAGCTTGTTTACTGCTTCCCTGGAGACTAGGAGAAGGAACAATGGCTTCAAACTACAAGAGAGGAGATTCCATCTGAACATGAGGAAGAACTTCCTGACTGTGAGAGCCGTTCAGCAGTGGAACTCGCTGCCCCGGAGTGTGGTGGAGGCTCCTTCTTTGGAAGCTTTTAAACAGAGGCTGGATGGCCATATGTCAGGGGTGATTTGAATGCAATATTCCTGCTTCTTGGCAGGGGTTAGACTGGATGGCCCATGAGGTCTCTTCCAACTCTTTGATTCTATGATTCTATGAAACAGCCTGAGGCTGTTAGTAATTGTGGGAGTTGAAGTCCAAAACACCCAGAGGGCCGAAGTTTGCCCATGCCTGCCCTAAGGTGGCCTTATCATGGGCTTTCCTTGCCAAAATGTGTTCAGAGAGGGTTTTCTTTGAAGTTGAAAGAGTATGATTTATCCCAAGGCCATCTGATGAGTTTCTATGGCTGAGAAAGGATTTGAACCCTGGCCTTTAGAGTCATAGGCTCAAACCATTACATGTTGTGCTCAAGGTGGGTCTTTATTCATTTATTTATTTGACTTGTATACCGCCACTCCCAATTTGGCTTGGAGCGGTTTACAGCAGTAGATTAAAACAATACAACCATCTTAAAAATACAATAAAAACGAGAACAGACATAGTCCCGAGTTATTCACCCATCGAAAGCTTGTCGGAAAAGAAAGGTTTTACAGGCTTTCCTGTAAGCTCGCGGATGGTTTGGGTTTCAACCGGCAAGGCATTCCATAAATAAGGGGCCACAATCGAGAAGGCTCTCTGCCTAGTAGAGGACAGATGATAAGACCGGATGTTGGGGACTTCAAGCAAATTTTGGTCTTCGGACCGAAGTAATCTCGGGTTGGTAGGGGGATAAGCGGGCCCTCAGGTACGCCGGCCCCAGACCATATAAGGCCTTAAAGGTTAGTACCAACACCTTGAAAGTAATCCGGTACTTAATCGGAAGCCAGTGCAGCTGTTGTAGGATTGGGGTGATACGACACCTCGCCGGCACCCCGGCGAGAAGACGAGCCGCCGCATTTTGCACCAGCTTCAGTTTCCGGATCACTGACAAAGGAAGGCCAATGTAGAGGGCGTTACAGTAGTCAAGCCTTGAGATGAGGCTTGACTCATATAGCTGAGCGAGGATTCAAACTCTATCTCCAGAGTTATAGGGTGCATCTACACTATTGGATTACTGTAGTTTGGCACCAGTTTATCTGCTATGGCCCAATGCTATGGAATCCCGGGATCTGTAGTTTGGTGGGACACAAAAACTCCTTGGCAGAGTAGGCTCAAGACCGTGCAATGCTACAGCACTCAGGTTTCCATAGCACTGAGTCATGGAAGTTAAAGTGGTACCAAGCTGCTTTAATTCTACAAGTATAGATGCATCCTAAGTCTGGTCCTCAAATGAACAATCTCATACTCCAATGAGGGTGATGGAGAAAAAGATTTTAGATGTGTGGAGAACTGCAGGCAACTTTTCTTGAATATGATGGAAAAACTCCTCAAGGAGCCTTGAAATGCTGGTGGCAGGAGGGAGATGTTATGAAACCACCAAAAAGCCCATGATGTAACCCAGAGCAAGAAGGGCCCTGTGGTTGTGGCCAGGGAGCTGGCCGACTGCCTTTGGTTTCCAGTGTTGGCAAACAGACTGTGTGGCTCAGCAGCATCCTGTCCCGGGGTGGCCCTGGTGCAGCAAACGGTGTCTAGTAGAGTCATGGTTGACCCAGTGGAACTCCACATCACGAAACGTTGCACCACAAGAGTGCAAAGAAAGAGGAACTGGGATTTTTTGGAGTTACGGAAAGTGGCTACAGAACTCTAGATCACAGCATTACTAATGTCTCAATGAGAATTGGAGCAGGGGAAAGCGCTGTGTATTTCCCATAATATTTGTTATAGAAGCAAATCAGTAGCCTTTTCCCAGTATAAAGTGGATCTACACCAGTGGTTCCCAACCTTCCTAATTTCACAACTCCTTAATACAGTTTTTCATGTTATGGTTACCCCCAACCATAACATTATTTTCTTTGCGACTTCATAACTGTAATTTTGCTGCTGTTATGAATCGTCATGTAAATATCTGATATATTTACATTATGATATATTTTCATTCATGACCAAATTTGGCACAAATACTAGATACACCCAAATTTGAATACTGGTGGGGTGGGCAGAATTGATTTTGTCATTTGGGAGTTGTAGTTGCTGGGATTTATAGTTAACCTACAATCAAAGAGCATCTGAAGTCCATCAACAATGGAATTGAACCAAACTTGACACACAGAACTCCCTTGACCAACAGAAAATACTGTAAGGGTTTGGTGAACAATGACTTTGAGTTTTTGGAGTTGTAGTTCACCTACATCCAGAGAGCACTATGGACTCAGACAATGATAGAACTGGACCAAACTTGGCATGAATACTCAATATGCCCAAATGTGAACACTGGTGGAGTTTGGAGTAAATAGACATTGACATTTGGGAGTTGTAGTTGCTGGGATTTATAGTTAACCAACAATTAAAGAGCATTCTGAAGTCCATCAACAATGGAATTGAACCAAACTTGACACACAAAACTCCCTTGACCAACAGAAAATACTGTAAGGGTTTGGTGAACAATGACTTTGAGTTTTTGGAGTTGTAGTTCACCTACATCCAGAGAGCACTATGGACTCAGACAATGATAGAACTGGACCAAACTTGGCATGAATACTCAATATGCCCAAATGTGAACACTGGTGGAGTTTGGAGAAAATAGACCTTGACATTTGGGAGTTGTAGTTGCTGGGATTTATAGTTCACCTACAATCAAAGAGCATGCTGAACCCCACCAACGATAGAATTGGGCCAAACTTGCCACACAGAACTCCCATGCCTTGAAGGGACTTGCTGGCTTGAGCCTCTTTCCAGCCCCACATGCTTTCCCTTGCCCCACATGTGCACACCATGCTGCCATGCGTTGAGCTTTCCTGCTCTCCGCTTCCTGCTTGGAGTCTCAAAAACAGCCCTCCCCTTGGCTGAGAGGCCGACCAATTGCAGTGGAGAAGGGCTTTTGGTGGGAGAATTCAGTCTGTTTCCAAAAAGGAAGAGAAGGACAGGTGGAGAGGTCATCAGCCTTCTCTGCCAAAGGGGTTCCTAACACCATCAAAACATATGTTTCTGATGGTCTTTGACAACTCCTCTGAAACCCTCCATTCCCCCCTCAGGAGTCCCAACCCCCAGGTTGAGAAAGGTTGATCTACACTATAGAATAGACTGTCCTGAGAGACCACTATGGGTGCATCTTTATTGTAGAATTAATCCAACTTGATGTTATTTCGCCCCCTATGGCTGAATGCTATAGAATCCTGGGATATGTAGTTTGGTGAGGCACCAGCACTCTTGGACAAAGAAGGCTTGAGGAACTACATTTCCCATTATTCAAAAACTTAGAGTAATTGCAGTTAAAGTATCAAATTGCATTAATTCTGCATCCTTCATGAACATCAGGATGCCAAACCACATCCTGGACAGAATCAAACTGAATCGGAAATCATATCTTTATGAAGGCAAAGTTGTGTTTGAAATGCTTAGTGTAGGGTTCTTTGATTCACACAAATGTCTTCTTTAGGCTTTGATGCTGAGAATTCTTAATCCATCAATAATATATCTATCACAAATTCCTCCAGCTCAAGCCACATTTCTGAAAGACTGGCAAATCCCTGTAAGCGTTGTCGGTCTTTTAGAAATCCCATGGCCACGTCACCCCCATGGATCAACATTAGAGAACATTTTAATCAAATCCGTGACTAACCAAATCCACAAAAGCGAACCCCACGAATGTGGATAGCTTACAATAAAACAATTAGTCTTGCCAAAGGAAATATATGTGTAGTACCCATACACACAGAGAAGGAAGGAGGAGGAAGAAATCACCAAACTGTTTAACGCAAATGCAAAGCAATGGCACTTGGATGAGAGTCTGCGTCCCCATAGATCTTCCCATCTAGAAACCAGGCACAAGAGAGGAAGAAATGGAAATGGAGGTGAAGCAAATGGAAGGAGGATAGTGTTGTTGAAGGCTTTCATGGCCGGAATCACTGGGTTGCTGTGAGTTTTCCAGGCTGTATGGCCATGTTTCAGTGTGAAGCTTGCAAAAGGCCACTTAACACCTCCCAACAAAGGATCTCCCCAGGCAGCAATCAGCCAAGCTTTGAAGCTGCAAGGTAGTTAAATGCTAATCAAGGTGGCCAAATGCAACATTCACACTTGCCTCAAACAGACAAAGAGTTCTTTCTCCCACCCTGGACATTATTCCACAGATATATAAATCTCGCTTGCCTAGTTTCTAGCAGACCTCAGAACTTCTGTGGATGCCTTCCATAGATGTGGGCAAAATGCTTCTGGAACATGGCTATACAACCTGAAAAAAACTCACAGCAGTGAATTAGGATAGGTTTAGTGCCTGTCGGGGATTGTGCCAAATCTTCACACAAAGGTGTCACATTATTCAAAAGAGAGTAAACTTTGTGGATGTGGAATGAAGGAGACCTGAGAGACAGAACAACCAGGTGGCCGGAAAGGTCGATTGTGCCACATTAAGGAAGAATAGTGTTGTGTGTACAAAAGGAGAGGCAAGTATGTGTAAGAGAGATTCAGATATATTGTTTTTCAATGACTATCCCCACTTTTCACTGCACAAAGCCTTGTTCCAACCTAGTTGTTCCACCTCACTTTGTGGTGCATCTCCTCTGCAGAATGAATGTCATTTGACACCACTTTAACTGCTGTGACTCAATGCTATGGAATAATGGGACGTGTAGTTTTCCATGGTTTTTTCACTCTCTTGGCCAAAGAGTGCTGGTGCTTCACTAAACTATGTCTCCTAGGATTCCATAGCTTGAGCCATGGCAGTTAGTGGAGTCAAAGCTCATTTATTCTGCAGTGGAGATAATAGACCTCCAAGGAGCTTGTGAGATTCAGAATATTTGTAATATGAATGGAGACACAGTTTTGGTTGACTATAGTGTGTGAAAATTGCAGGGATGTTGGTGTTTCTGGACTTGAATGATTAATTGGACCATATATAAAGTGCTAGTGTGATTAATTTTGAAGTACTGACAGCAATGTAATGGCCCATTTGGAAATGTGCCATCATGGACACATCAGTCATGGGAGGTGGTCCTCCTCCTCTCTATTCAACCTTAGTCAGATCACACCTGGCATGCTGTGTCCAATTCTGGGCACTGCAATTGACAGGAGATGTTGACAAGCTGGAATGTGTCCAGAAGAGGGTAACTCAAAGAATCAAGGGTCTGGAGAACAAGCCCTATGAGGAACAGCTAAAAGAGCTGGGAATGTTTAGCCTTCAGAAGAGAAAGCTGAGAGGAAACATGATGGCCATGTATAAATATGTAAGTGGAAATTACAGGGAGGGAGCAAGCTTGTTTTCTGCTGCCCTGGAGACTAGGACACAGAACAATGGCTTCAAACTACAGGAAAGGAGATTCCACCTGAACATTAGGAAGAACTTCCTGACTATGAGAGTTGTTCAGCAGTGGAACTCTCTGCCCCGAGTGTGGTGGAGGCTCCTTCTTTGGAGGCTTTTAAGCCGAGGCTGGATGGCCATCTGTCGGGGGTGCTTTGAATGTGATTTTCCTACTTCTTGGCAGGGGGTTGGAGTGGATGGCCCACGAGATCTCTTCCAACTCTATGATTCTATGAATCTCTACAACTCTGTTCCCAAGTAGATTCCCAAAATATAGGTGAACCCATGTCAACAAGCAATTTCTAATCCATTTTCAGCTCTACCAGAAGCAGGTAGTTTGTAAAACTAATGGATCTTGATTGCATATCCCATACAATTCAATGTCTCCCAGTCTTACACTTCTACAGCAAATGTAAGGGTGAAGAGCTCAGAAAAGATAGGAAGCTTTAAGCAGGGTGACCAATGACGTTATTGTGGCTACTAATGACAAAAAACATTGTAGGATTTTGACCTTTGTTGGGTAGACCAGCAGAAAAATGTGTGTGCTATGAATACTATCCTAATCTAAAGAGGTCTTCCTTTTTTCCAGGGCTATGAAGAGACCCCGTTGTGGTGTCCCTGATAAATTTGGCGCAGAGATCAAGGCCAATGTGCGACGCAGGCGTTATGCCATCCAGGGGCTGAAATGGTCACACTACGATCTGACCTTTTGGTAAGGATTGGAAGAGGAGCCAGCCTTTTACAGGGTGGTAGGAGGAGGAAGGGGCTATTGAAATGGGGAGAAGGTTAGCCTTGTGTTGGGTCCATTATAGGGAAAGCATTAATGTCATTGGGCTGCAAGGATAGATGAAAAAAAGAATGCATACTGGACATTTGTTTGTATACACTTCATCCTGATCAGGAAATCAATTAGATGTTGTGCTTTTGGTCATGAGAAGTATGGCAGAGGGCGAGGAGAAAAACAAATGAGTACCAACAACCTTGTGATGTCTTCTTAGTTTCTGAGTTAGAGGGCCAAAGGCTATATGACATGTGATTCTCCATCCCTTTTACTGGATTTCCTGAGCACACTCTCACACTTTAGCTACTTTTAAAAAAGGAAGAAATCTGAAACTCCAAACAAACCTATAATTTTTGCAATATAAACAAGATGGTTGGGTTTCTATAGAGGGTAGATTCTTGCATCTCCCACGCTGCCTTGAGTGCTTCTCAAGGTTTTCAAAGTGGCTGTCAGACAAAGGAAGGATGGCGTGCCAATTTTTTCATGACTTTCGTGAAGGGGGAGAGCAAATATATGTGGTTGAAAAAGGAGGAAGAATGTGGAAGGTTGTTTTAGGGGGACAGGTAGAAATATGAGGATGTGGAGAGTAGGAGAGGTGTAAGAAGACATCAGGGTTTTGAGGTGACTTAGAGGAAGCTAGGGATACACGAGGTGGTACCTAGGTGTGCATCTACACTGTAGAATTAAGTTTGATACCACTGTTATTATCTTGGCTTAATGCTGTGGAATCCTGGGCGTTGTAGTTTTACAAGGTCTTTCATTTTCTTGGCCAAAGAGTGTTGGTGTCTCAGCAAACTATAACTTCTAAGACTCTATAGTAATCAAGCATAGCAGGTTTTTTTTCATGTCAGGAACGACTTAAGAAACTGCAAGTTGCTTCTGGTGTGGGGGAATTAGCTGTCCGCAAGGATGTTGTCGAGGGGACGCCCGAATGTTTTACCATCCTGTGGGAGGCTTTTCTCATGTCCCCGCATGAGAAGATGGAGCTGACACATGGGAGCTCACCCCGTTCCCTGGATTTGACCTGTCAACCTTTTGGTCAGCAGTCCTGCCAGCACAAGGGTTTAATGCATTGCATCACCAGTGGTTCCTAGCATAGCAGTTGAATTGATGTCAAACTGCATTCATTCTACAGTGTAAATGCACTTGAAAAAATGTTATATTGTGTCCAATTCTGGAATATTGTGTCCAATTCTGGGCACCACAATTGAAGAGAGATATTGACAAGCTGGAGTGTGTCCAGAGGAGGGCGATTCAAATGATCAAGGGTCTGGAGAACAAGCCCTATGAGGAGCCGCTTAAAGAGCTGGGCATGTTTAGCCTGAAGAAGAGAAAGCTGAGAGGAGATATGATAGCCATGTATAAATATGTGAGAGGAAGCCACAGGGAGGAGGGAGCAAGCTTGTTTTCTGCTTCCCTGGAGACTAGGACGCGGAACAATGGCTTCAAACTACAAGAAGGGAGATTCCATCTGAACATGAGGAAGAACTTCCTGACTGGGAGAGCCGTTCAGCAGTGGAACTCTCTGCCCCTGAGTGTGGTGGAAGCTCCTTCTTTGGAAGCTTTTAAACAGAGGCTGGATGGCCATCTGTCAGGGGTGATTTGAATGCAATATTCCTGCTTCTTGGCAGGGGGTTGGACTGGATGGCCCATGAGGTCTCTTCCAACTCTTTGATTCTATGATTCTATGAAAACCTCAAAATTCCAGATCACATCCTTGACAGAATCAAACAGAATAAGAAACACCACTTTATGAGGACAAAGTTGTGTTTGAACTGCTCAGTGCAGGGTTCTTTGATTCACACAAGTCTTTAGGCTTCAGTGCTGAGAATACTTAACATCAATAAAACATCTATCCACTCATCTCAGTCCATATTTCTGAAGGACTGGCAATATAAGCTTCACCTGTCATTTAGAAAACCTGAAATGCCCCAGGATACTTAGATCTAAATAAATGTTAGGACAAGGTTGTGCCTGGCACCGGGATTTCACCTTCTGTTTCTATTGCAGCATCCAGAATTACACACCCAAAGTAGGGGAACATGCCACCTTCAGTGCCATCCGCCGTGCCTTCAACGTATGGCAATCGGTGACGCCGCTGCGTTTCCGTGAGGTATCTTATTCATTGGTGCGCGAGGGACACGAACCCCAGGCTGACATCATGATCTTCTTCGCGGAAGGCTTCCACGGGGACAGCACCCCCTTTGACGGTGAAGGGGGCTTCCTGGCGCACGCCTATTTCCCTGGGCCCCACATTGGAGGCGACACGCACTTTGATGCGGCCGAGCCATGGACGTCCCGCAATGACGACCTGAGTGGTGGGTACATGGATAAAGCTATGGAGGAGAGGAATGGTGGGAAGCAAGGGTGCGTGCAAAGTGTGGAAGACGTGCATGATGTGCAGATGAGTCACTGAGAGAAGACACAGGAGGAAGTAATGGTTTATCACCACTGCTCCTACTCACCAACTCGAGATCAGACAATATCACATCCTTTTTCCACTTCCCTTTGTCTCTCACAATGTCACTCCATCTTGGGGTGGAAAGGGAATTTCCTGGAGGACCAAAATCTCATATTCGGTTCCTTCTACAGTCAGCCCCTCACATTCACTGGGGTTGCAGCACAGGGTTCCCATGGAAGTGGAAAATCACAAAGAAAGAAATTGCTATTTTTCTTAACCTAAGGGAACACTTCTTCAGGAATTTCTATATCTTTTAGCATGACGCTTTGGTCAACTATAGAACTACCCTAAAGGAAGTAGAGATTCACAGAAATATATTCTTTCTAGACATTTATCGAAAGAACAAATCTGTGAATAATCATATCCACTAAAGTCAAAACTGCAAATGTGGAGGGGATGATTGTACTCTTCTGAACTGGTCTCTATTGGATCAGAGTTGCTCCTCTTAATGGAGAAATGGGATTCATATTCCTTTCTCAGGTGCTTTTAGAAGCCATGGAAACCTCCATGAAATAGTTTCTCATCTTCAAAAATTGACTCATTCATTGTCCTCTGAATGACATGGAACTGAAATGTCATAATGAATAGATACGGCCTTATTTCTGGGATATCAATGTGCCTCATTTCGCCTTTGCAGGAAATGACATTTTCCTGGTGGCTGTGCATGAGCTGGGCCATGCGCTGGGCTTGGAGCACTCGAACGACCCTTCTGCTATCATGGCACCTTTCTATCAATGGATGGACACGGAAAACTTTGAGTTGCCTGAAGATGACCGGCGTGGCATACAGCAGCTATATGGTATGATCCTTTCTTCACTTGCTGACCCCTTACCCTGGTTGCATTGCCTCTTGTGTCCCAACTCTCCTGAACAAAGCTGTGATTAATAACTGAAGACTTTCAAAAGTCGTCTTTGGGTATGTCACAAATAAGGTGTCATAACTACCAACTCCATGTCCCTATTTGCTATTAGCCATAATAAAGTCAGGACAAAGCTTCACATTATGTCACTATATCTATGTGCCTTCAAGTTGCCCATAGACTTCTGGCAACCCGATAAATTTTTCATAGTGTTTTCTTCCAAATGTTTCCTCTGAAAAAGCACCTAAAACACCTGGTCATTGCTGGTAGTCTCCCATCCAAGTGCTAGCCAGGGCTGACCCTGCTTAGCTTCCAAGATCAGACAAGATCTGCTGCTCTCCTCACTTGCATTTATTTAGACTGAAATGGAAAGAGTCATTCTCTAGCATTTGTTAATTGACATGTACTATCCTAGAATATGGAAGCTAGAAAACAAGTTCTAGCAACGGCTATGATCAGTGGCATCTAGTTGCACAATTTTTTAACGTCTTGAAACAGCCTTCCCCAGATTGATTTCGCTCAAGCTCCCATTATCCACAGCCAAGAGGCTATTGGCTGTGATCATGCTTCCATCACACTCTGAAAGACCCTTCCATTTCCATCCTCACACCTGTCATGAAAGGCATTAATAGAAATCCTTTTAATTTTTGTCTCCAGGTTCTGAAATGGGCCACCCCAGTAAACCTCCTCCAGTCCCCCGTACGACTGCGAAACCCCGTGTCCCTGACCGGCCCCCTAAAAACCCAACGTATGGCCCCAACATCTGCGATGGAAGATTTGACACTATTGCTGTGCTGAGGGGAGAGATGTTTGTCTTCAAGGTGAGGCTGATTGGAGAAAGATCATTGCTATAAGCTATGCAGGGAGAAGGCAGTAGCAAAAGGAAGGAGATTTGGGACATAGTCCTGGGAGTATAGTGATCTCTGGGACCATCTACATTGTAGAATTAATGCAGTTTGATAATATTTTAACTGGCATAGGATCATGGGACCTAACCCAAGTGAAGTTGGGGAGATATTTGTATACTTTTCTCCCTCTGAGTCTGTCTATCACAGGCATGGGCAAACTTTGGTCCTTCAAGTGTTTATAACTCCAACTCCAACAATTTCTAACAGCCTCAGGCCCTTTCCTTTCCCCCCACAGCTGGTCTTATGGTCTATCATCTATCTGGTCTATCATCTATCTGGTCTATCATCTATCTGGTCTATCATCTATCTGGTCTATCATCTATTTGGTCTATCATCTATTTGGTCTATCATCTATCTGGTCTATCATCTATCTGGTCTATCATCTATTTGGTCTATCATCTATTTGGTCTATCATCTGTCTGGTCTACATCTATCTGGTCTATCATCTATCTGGTCTGTCATTTATCTGGTCTATCATCTATCTGGTCTATCATCTATCTGGTCTATCATCTATTTGGTCTATCATCTATCTGGTCTATCATCTATCTGGTCTATCATCTATCTGCTTTGAGTCTCATTTAAGAGAGGAAAGGGGGGATATAAGTAAATATACTGGTAACAATAATGTCTGTCTGTCCATCCATCCATCTCACACATGCATAATTTAACTTGCTTGGATTTCTCCCTCGTGTTTTTCCCTTTCCAGGACAAATGGTTTTGGCGAGTCCGGAACAACCGAGTGATGGACGGCTATCCTCTCCCCATCGGTCAGTTCTGGGTCGGTCTCCCTTCCACGATCAACACCGCCTATGAAAGAAAAGATGGCAAATTTGTCTTCTTTAAAGGTTTGTCGATTACTCCTTTGACGCTGAATGTGGTCGCATCTTTCCACGGCTAATTGTCTGAACTATTTAGGATTCTATTTTTTCCCAAATCTTTATTTCTTTTCCCATGTTTTCTTGTGAGTGCAAACACAGCTTTTTAAATACTATCCGAAACACAATAGTTTAAACTTTGTGAACCATCAGTTGCTGCTGTAGATAATCCTTCAGCCAGTCAGCTTGGCTCCAGGCAAAATTCACAAGGCCAAGCCAAATTTGTGGCTTGGCTTTCGTTTTTGCTGCGGCTGTGTAAGTTTCAGCAATGTTCGGTACCTGTTTCCTGTGAGATCCGCCCAGGATCTTTGGCTGTCTGATCTGCTTTTCTGAATTTTGCTCCCAATGTTATTCTGATTGCAGTTTCTTTTGTTTTATTTCTGGTTTCCATACAAAGCATCTATACTATAGAATTAATGCAGGTTGACACCACTTCAACTATCATTACTCAGTGCTGTGGAATCACAGGAGTTGTAGTGAGCCCCCAGTGGTGCAATGGGTTAAACCCTTGTGCCAGCAGTACTGAAGACCAACAGGTCAGCAGTTTAACATGGGGAGAGCATGGATGAGCTCCCTTTGTCAGCTCTAGCTCCCCATTCGGGGACACAAGAGAAGCCTTCCACAAGGATGGTAAAACATCAAAACATCTGGGCATCCCCTGGGTAATGTCCTTGCAGATGGCCAATTCTCTCACACCAGAAGCAACTTGCAGTTTCTCAAGTTGCTTCTGACATGAAAAAAGCAAAACAAAATGGGAGTTGCAGTCTAGTGGGCCTCCAACACTATTTTGCAGCACCCAAAATGACATAGCTACAACATGGTGTCAAACTGCATTAATTCTACAGTATAGATGTACCCGCAGAATCTGTGTAAATTCTTGCGGTCTAAAGGAGCGTCTACTGTGTGGAATGATTGCAGTTTGACACCATTTTAACTGCTGTGTTTCAATGCTGTGGAATCCTGGGAGCTGTAGTTTTACAAGGTCTTTAGTGTACTATGGCTAAGAATGCTGGTGTCTCACCAAACTACAACTCCCAGGATTCCATAGGCTGGAACCATGGTGGTTGTTGGGTGAGTGGGCTTATTAATAAAAGACCCTCTCCATAAATGTACAGCAGAGCAATTCATCAGCAGCAGCGTGATCTAGCGCCAGTAGCCCAAAGTGATAGAAAGAACAAAAACACACAGACCAATGTTATAATAATAATAATAAAATAATAATATTAATAATTATAATAATTATAATAAAGGCTCTCCATGGACAGTTTCTGAGAAAATTAAGAGCCAAATTTGTGTTAAAAAACAAAGTATGGATTATCGATGTTGCAATCCCAGGTGACAGCAGGATTGAAGACGAACAACTGGAAAAGCTGACATGATATGAGGATTTAAAGATCGAACTGCAAAGACTCTGGCACAAGCCAGTCAAGGTGGTCCCAGTGGTGATCGGCACACTGGGTGCAGTGCCTAAAGACCTTGGCCTGCACTTAAACACAATCAGCACTGACAAAATTACCATCTGCCAGCTGCAAAAGGCCACCTTACTGGGATCTGTACACTTTATTTGCTGAGACATCACACAGTCCTATACACTTGGTAAGCGTCCGATGTGTGATCCAATACAACAGCCAGCAGAGTGTCTGCTGTGGACTCATCTTGTTGTGTTTCAAATAATAACAATGAAGGCTCTCCATGGACAGTTCCTGGGAAAAATTGAGAGCCAAATTTGTGTTAAAAAACAAAGTATGGGTTGTTGATGTTGCAATCCCAGGTGACAGCAGGATTGAAGACAAACAACTGGAAAAGCTGACACGATATGAGGATTTAAAGATCGAACTGCAAAAGACTCTGGCACAAGCCAGTCAATGTGGTCCCAGTGGTGATCGGCACACTGGGTGCAGTGCCTAAAGACCTTGGCCTGCACTTAAACACAATCGGCAGTGACAAAATTACCATCTACCAGCTGCAAAAGACCACCTTACTGGGATCTGCACACATTATTCGCTGATACATCACACAGTCCTATACACTTGGGAAGTGTCCGATGTGTGATCCAATACAACAGCCAGCAGTGTGTCTGCTGTGGATTCATCTTCTTATGTTTCAAATAACAACAACAACAACAATAACTTAATTTTTATACCCTGCCACCATCTCCCCAAGGGGACTCAGGGCGGCTTACATGGGCACAAGCAAAGAATCTGGCACAAGCCAGTCAAGGTGGTCCCAGTGGTGATCGGCACACTGGGTGCAGTGCCTAAAGACCTTGGCCTGCACTTAAACACAATCAGGACTGACAAAATTACCTCCTGCCAGCTGCAAAAGACCACCTTACTGGGATCTGTACACATTAGTTGCTGATATATCACACGGTCCTATACACTTGGGAAGTGTCCGACGTGTGATCCAATACAACAGCCAGCAGAGTGTCTGCTGTGGATTCATCTTCTTGTGTTTCAAATAATAATAATAACAACAACAACTTTATTTTTATACCCCGCCACCATCACCCCAAGAGGACTCGGTGCGGCTTACATGGGGTCAAACCCAGAATCACAGAAAAAACAACAGCATTAAAATCAGTCAAATAAAAACACAGCACAATCACAACAACAATACCATTAAAACAATATGGCTGAGAAACATATCTTCCATGTTATATCTTTCATAGGAGTATTTCCTTTGTAGTAAAATAATATAATTGCACAAGGCTTCTCTCACATAGAAGTTTCTATAACACAAATAAACAAATACGAAGTAGCTTCACATGTTACAGCCTTCATACTGGAGCTGCCTCACAAGGCTTCTCTCACACAGAAGTTTGCCTCACACAGACAAGCCTCACACAGACTGAGGCTCCTTCCACACAGCTGAATAATATCCTACATTACCTGCTTTGAACTGGGATATATGGCAGTGTGGACTCAGATAGCCCAGTTCAAAGCAGATAATGTGGGGTTTTCTGCCTTAATATTCTGGGTTATATGACTGTGTGGAAAGGCCCTGAGGTGTCCCCTCACTGAGGCAAACTAAAACTAACAGGCTTCGGCCTACTCTCTCTCCTCAGGGTGATGTTAGCTTTGGCTCACTAACTCTAACAGGCTTTGGCCTACTTTTTCAGTGGGTTGTTGTAGGTTTTTCGGGCTACATGGCCATGTTCTAGAAGCATTCTCTCCTGACGTTTTGCCTGCATCTATGGCAGGCATCCTCACAACGTCTGAGGACGCGGAACAATGGCTTCAAACTACAAGATAGGAGATTCCACCTGAACATTAGGAAGGACTTCCTAACTGTGAGAGTTGTTCAGCAGTGGAACTCTCTGCCCCGGAGTGTGGCGGAGGCTCCTTCTTTGGAAGCTTTTTAACAGAGGCTGGATGGCCATCTGTCAGGGGTGATTTGAATGCAATATTCCTGCTTCTTGGCAGGGGGTTGGACTGGATGGCCCATGAGGTCTCTTCCAACTCTGATTCTAGGACCAAACTTGACACAGAGGCATAGAATCATAGAGTTGGAAGAGACTTCATGGGCCATCCAGTCCAACCCCCTGCCAAGAAGCAGGAAAATTGCATTCAAAGCATCCCCAACAGATGGCCATCCAGCCTCTGTTTAAAAGCCTCCAAAGAAGGAGCCTCCACCACACTCCAGGGCAGAGAGTTCCACTGCTGAACGGCTCTCACAGTCAGGAAGTTCTTCCTAATGTTCAGATGGAATCTCCTTTCTTGTAGTTTGAAGCCATTGTTCCATTGCGTCCTAGTCTCCAGGGCAGCAGAAAACAAGCTTGCTCCCTCCTCCCTATGACTTCCTCTCACATATTTATACATGGCTATCATGTCTCCTCTCAGCCTTCTCTTTTTCAGGCTAAACATGCCCTGCTCTTTAAGCCACTCTTCATAGGGCTTGTTCTCCAGACCCTTGATCATTTTAGTCACCCTCTTATTTAGATATTTTGGATAAACAGGCTTCTCTTCTTTTTCTTGCAGGGGACAAGCATTGGGTCTTCAATGAAGCCATTTTGGATCCGGGTTACCCCAAACACATTAAGGAACTGGGCAGAGGGCTCCCCACGGACCGGATCGATGCTGCACTTTTCTGGATGCCAAGCGGGAAGACCTACTTCTTCCGGGGAAATAAGTGAGTCAGTGACATATTGTTATCCGTGGGTTTTTGTAGGTTTTTCAGGTTGTATGGCAATGTTCTAGAAGCATTCTCTCCTGACGTTTCACCTGCATCTGTGGCAGAGGTTGTGAGATCTGTTGGAAACTAGGAAGCAGGCAAAACAGGCATCACAACCTCTGAGGATGCCTGAGGATGCCTGCCACAGATGCAGGCGAAACATCAGGAGAGAATGCTTCTAGAACATGACCATACAGCCCGAAAAACCTACAACAACCCAATGATTCCAGCCATGAAAGCCCTTGACAATATATTGTTATATCTTGGCTTGTTTCCAACAAGCATCTCCTTTGTTCCATTCAGTGGTTTCCAACCTTTGGAACTCCAACTCCCAGAAATTCCAGCCAGTTTACCAGCTGTTAGGAATTGTGGGAGATGAAGTCCAAAACACCTGAGGGTCCAAAGGTTGGGAACAACTAAACTAGACCATTCTAATTCCCAATTGAATGAGCAGCACACATCATATCTTCTTATAATGAATCTCAAAAAGTTAATGATGGCATCTTCTTGGCATCATAGAGAATCAAAATAATCAATCATCATAGTCATCTTCTAAGTTGTCTACTAGGAGCACTGCCACCAATGGGAACCCAGTGAATTGCTTGCTTCCTGTTTACGTTCCTTGAAACTAAACACTATTTTTTCTCTACTCAGATATTATCGCTTCAACGAAGAGAGCCGAACTGTCGAAGCTGACTATCCCAAAAATATTGATGTTTGGGGAGGGATCCCCGACTCACCTCGGGGGGCCTTTATGGCTAGCGATGAAGGTAAGATATATATAGATCTGTGTGCTGTCGTGCGCTGGGCCTATAGCAATTGGCTTTTGAACAGGACATGCTCTTTGTGCCCAGCGGGAAGCTGGGGTGCCTCGGATGAGGGGCCCTAAGGGTTTTCCTATACAAAGTCTTTAGAAGCGTAAGAGTTTAAGAAAGTTCTTTATTATTGCTTATGTCTTCAACAAACAATCTTAGATCTTCAACAAATCAAACAAATGCTTCTTAACTTGTCTACAATGGACAGGCAACTTGCTTGGAGAACTATTTCTTTCCTTTACGAGGAAAACCCTTTTTGACCCCTCCTTGGGCAATCTGCTTTCTAGGCTTTGCTAGTGTGGGCCCTACTCCCGGCTTCAAAATGCTTCTTGGGTACCCGAGTAGACCTACCAGCCAAGGCTTTGAAGAATTTCCAGCTGGAGTCCTTAGGATTTTTCCCAGGAAAGTTGTAGGTCTGTTTCTCCAACCCCAACAAGGGTTGTGCTGTAAAGCTATTTCTCTTAAAAGCCTTTCTTTAGAGACTGTTCTTAAAGCTGTGAGGCTGTAAATTCCCCAGCCAGGGCTTTTTTCCCCCGGACTCTGTAACTGTTTTCCCCCGGACTTTGTAAGAAATGAAGCTTCTCTACAGGTAGAAAACTTTCATGTCCTGTAGCTGAGCTTCCAACTGTAAGACTGAACTAAAATGGTTCCCTTTCCCTCCTGAACCTGGAAAAAAGGGCGGAACTAAAACTTAACGATGATAGACAGGTGGCTAGCCCCATGACTGCAGCCTAGCAGGAACCATCCAACTGCAAAATGCATGGCCAGAACAAGCACATGCAAACGCTCAAAGAACGAAAGGGAGTTTGGAGCTCCTGGTACAGCCGTACCAGCACACTCTGTCCTTCCATCCTAATTAGATTATGAGTTTTAGCTTTGCAACGATACTATGTCTTGCTTTCTCCCTGCTGTTTCAGCTATCCACAGGAAGCCCATAAAGAAGGCATGGGCAAACTTCGGCTCTCCAGTTGTTTTGGACTTCAATTCCCACAATTCCTAACAGCTGGTAGGAATTGCGGGTAGGCTGTTAGGCATTGTGGGAGTCCAAAACACCTGGAGGACAGAAGTTCGCCCATGCCTGCCATAAAGGAATGTAGTGCTAATGGCGTGCAAATAAGATGTATCACATCCCTCCGTTACATCCGGTTGCCCCTTCCACAAATGTTTCTGCCAGCATGAAAATGGTCACATTGCTAATTACTAATAAGCCTTTGATCTGTCATTGCTGATTAAGTATATGTTCATAAAATGATTCAGTAATGACAGCTGTTAATACATGAATGGTCTTTTGATTATGCATACTTTTCAGCAGGACACTTCCTGGCTTGGATGAGAAAATAAATGAAATCTGAAATGCTTTCAAAAAATACAATATTCATTGAAAAATCAGGTTTCCTGGAACCAATGGCTCCTCTTGAACATTTCTAACGTAGAATGGAAATAAGGATACAATTTTTAAAATATCAGTCAGAAAGTACAAAATTGTGTTTGAAATATTGGATCTAGATTTAAGGTGCACCTATACCAGGTATGGACAAAAGTTGGCCCTCCAGGTGTTTTGGACTTCAACTCCCACAATTCCTAACAGCCTATCAGCTGTTAGAAATTGTGAAAGTTAGAGTCCAAAACACCTGGAGGGCCAAAGTTTAACCATGCCTAACCTATACTGTAGAATTAATGCATTTTGACACTACTTTTGATGGGATTTGTGGCTTCATAAGGCACCAGCCTTCATTGGCATAGAAAACTAAAGATCTTGTAAAACGGCAACACCTATAGCATTGAGCTACAGCAGTTGAAGTGGTGTCTAACTGCATCAATTCTACTATGTACAGTCATACTTGGAGGATACCCATTGAAATCAGTGAGGATTAAGTTAGTAACTGTCTACGCCAAGTATGATTAAATGCAGATCAAACTCAAATAAAAGCTCAATGTGAAACAGGCTTCCTTTCAGAAAATGTTCAAAACTAATTTTGGTGTTACAATTTACATCAGGAATGTGAACTTATTGTCAAATTGGTTTTTTAAAGGTAAAGTTTCCCCTTGACATTAAGGCTAGTCAAGTCTGATCTGGTGTGTGTGTGTATTCTAAGCCGAAGAGCCAGTGTTGTCTATAGAGGCCTTTACCTTCCCTCCGAAGCAGTACCTGTTGATCTACTCAGATTTACATGTTTTTGAACTGCTAGGTTGGCAGAAGCTGGGGCTAACAACAGGAGGTCACCCTGTCCCACAGATTCGAACCGCCAACCTTTCGGTCAACAATTTTTGCAGCTTAGTGGTTTAACCTGCTTCACCACCGCGGCCCCTTTCTTAAAATGAGAACTGAAATGAGGATCTGGGCTCTGAAATCATACTAGAAACACAATTCAGAAAATAAAATGTGGACTTCAGGGTTGCAGTGTGCAAATTCCAAATTTTAACACAGAACAAAGATTCCCAATTAAAGGCATTGAATGTTTGCTTTTTTGCCAAGAAGCCACCCTGAGTCCCTCAGGAGAGATAAGGTGGCCTACAAATAATAATAATAATAATAATAATAATAATAATAATAATAATAAGGATGCTTGCCATAGATGCAGGCGAAACGTCAGGAGAGAATGCCTCTAGACCATGGCCATATAGCCCGAAAAAACCTACAACAACCCAATAATAATAATAATAATAATAATAATGATGATGATGATGATGATGCAATTAGAAACAGTGTTGGAGTTGTCCAGTGACGAATCCCACTTTCTTGCATTTTTAAAACAGGTTTCAGAATTTTACAATTCTCTCCTGAATATCTTTGAACAGATATCTCTTAGGTTTCTTTTCTGTGCCGTTAATTGTCTTGTTTTTTCCTCCCTTCTGTTTTGCTTTGTCTGGCTTGACTTCTTGGCACAGTTTTCACCTACTTTTACAAGGGGGACCATTATTGGAAATTCAATAATGAGAAGCTGAAGGTGGAGCCGGGATACCCCAAGTCAGTGCTGCGGGACTGGATGGGATGTAGCTCGGACGACCGGCGCGAGGGAGAAGAAGTCATCATCATTGAGGTGGACAATGGGAACGAAGGGGCAGTGAATGCGGCTGCCGTGGTGTTGCCCATCCTGCTGCTCCTCACCATCCTGGCATTGGGAATCGCCATCCTCATCTTCAAGCGCTATGGAACGCCCAAACGGTTGCTCTACTGCCAGCGTTCTCTGCTGGACAAAGTGTGACCAAGTGAGCCTCTCACCTTGGCCAGGAGGACAGGCCATTCCTCCTGCTCCTGCCTCCTGCCCTTTGCCACCATCTCACCTTCTCTGCTATTTTCTTGAACTCCCTTCCCTTTAGTTGGCTTAGATGTGTCTACCTGTCCCTTTTTGCCACAATCTCCTCCTCCCTTTCCTTTTTCTTCCTCCATCTCTCTCCTGGTCCCTCCTGTACTACTTTCTTGAACCTCCTCCCCTTTAGTTGACTTAACTGTGCCTCCTTGTTCCCTTTTGCCATCATCTCCTTCCTTTCCTCCTCCTACTTCTTCTCTTCCTCCTCCTACTTCTCTTCCTCCTTCCTTTCCTCCTCCTACTTCTCCTCCTCCTCCTTTTTCTCCCATCCATTTTCTGGACCCTCTTCTGATAGTTTCTTGAACCTCCTTCCCTTTAGTTGACTTAGCTGTGTCTTCTCATCCCTCCTTCCACCATCTCCTCCCCTTTTCCCTTTTTTCTTCTCCCAGCCACCTTTTCATCCCTTCTTTCTTCCTTGGTGTTCTGCTTTTGGGCAACTTTCTTAAGCTTGACTTGTTCTCCTCCCATTCCTTCACCTCCAAAACCTTACCCAGTTCTGTTCCTGTTTTCCTTCTTTGCAACCATTTACCCCTCCTCCTCTTTGCTTTGCGTTCCCTCTCCTCCTCCTAATATCCCGTGTGTGCTGAGCACGCTCATATATGTAACTTGAGGAGGTGAAGGAGGATTTCTCTCCATGCTGGTTTTGGCTCCGTCAACCCCACCACAGCCTTCTCATGGTGGGACATCTCTTGACCTCTGTAGCAAAAAGAGACTTCACTTTGACCTGTCGGCTTGCAGAACCAACACTGCGAAGACCTTCCAAGGTTCCCTTCTAGAACCTGGTGGGATCAAGGTTATATTATCACCCACTGTTTATTGGTCCCAGGATATCTGCCCCCACTTCCCAGCTCTGGTTCTCTCTAAAGAATACCTTTTGTCTTTCCCTTCCTTGCCCTTCCCCTTCCTTCCAAGGGCAGATAATGAATCAGTGGTGGACACAAGGGTAGATGTCCTTCACTGGCTTATTGGAGATTGAGGGGAGGGTCTTTAAAAGGACGTGGCTTCAAAATAAGGTAATACGGAGGTAATTATGGATTTGGTGAGACAGTAGGAGGAGCTATGTAGATGTGGGGGTGGGGGGAGGGATGATGTAACATTCCAAGGAGCTGGAATGGAATTAAGCATTCCTAAAGGAACTATATCATTCCATTGAGCATGGCTTGAAAAGCAAGGCGGAGCCAGGGCCAACCAATAGAAGTGCTTACGTAGTGCTCCCCATAGAGAAAAGCAGGTAGGGTGCTTGGCGGGACACAAGGGGGTGGGTTCAAAATGTGGGAGGTGTGGCCTAAGTGGCCCTCCCTCTAAGGGGCAGGGAGGCATCCTTAAAGGGCCAGATCTGGTATCATAGGGAAGGGAAGGGTGCACAGATCTTGCCAAATGGGATGGGAAATTGGTACATGAACACAACAGCAAACAAAGCAAGTTGAGTGTATGAAAGATGGGAGGGTGGTTGGGTTTTTCCGAAGGGAGGAAGAGGAGGAGGTAGCAATGGGAGATGGGATGGGACAGATATGGCCAGCCAGGTCCGGTTTTTGGCAGCACGGTTTGCAAAATAAAATGTTTACTCTCTGACATATAATTATACTTGCACAAAGTTTACAAGGGTCACTTTCTGGATTCTGCAGAAACAAAGCGAGCGAGCAAACAAATAAACAAAAAAGGGGATCCAAAGAGGAAGAAAATTGATATTGCACCATAGAACTGCCTTATCCTCCTCACTTAGGGAAAATGTTTTTAATTTTTGTTTAATGTTGAATATGTAATTTTAATTATTCTATAGAAATGCCTTTTTTAAAAAAACAAAAGTTAAAAATAGTGCATTAACAGGGTGGGTAAAATAGAATTGGGGTGGGAGGAGACCCCCAAATTCCTGCAGGCCGGGATTGAGGAAGTCTTAGCCCTCCCCTGTTCAGACCATTGTTAACTGGGGCTTGGGGTATGTGTGTTTTCAAATGGTCTCCAAACGGAATTAAACTGTGTTTAACGATACATTTGTGTTTTTGGGGTGGGCTTTTTAATATTTTTATGGTTCCACTTTATTATTGTTATTATTATTGTTATTATTTTGCTATGGATAATAAACACCCATTCATTGGGAGGGAAATATACATATATTGCTAGGAGCCAATAGGCTGTTCAATTCTGTTATTCCTTTCAACATTTAGCAATAAAAAAACCATTTCTGGGTAGAAATGGATCTAAAATGCTGGAAGTTTTAAAAAGAATTATTATTTTTTGTCCCAACACATGTTCATAATTATTTTGTTATTAAAAAGGAGTCACCAAGGATTTTTTTTATAAAAAAGAACAAAACAATAAATGCTGGAATTTCCCCCCTTTTAGTAGTATTTTGTATTAAATTGTTATTTTTTTTTCCTTTTGGGGAAAATGGATACTTTTTCTCAAATGGACTGAAGGGTTTGAAAATACTGTTACAGAAATGCATAATATGTTAATACAGGTGTTGTACACAGTTGAATTGACACCATTTCAACTGCCCTAGCTCAATGCCATGTAATCCTGGGAGTTGTAGTTTGGTAAGGCACCAGCACTCTTTGGCAGAGACGGCTAAAGACCTTATAAAACTACAACGCCCAAGATTCTATAGCATTGAGTCATGGTAGTGAAATGGTGTCAAACTGCCTTAATTCAACAATGTTGATGCATTCTACTCCATTGGTCTCCTATTCATCAGCATTAATCTCTTCTGCTTCCAAGGATAGAAGAATACAGACAGTGACAACCTTGTGGCTTCTCTCCTCCTATTTATTTATCTATCTATCATATCAGAAGCTAACCAAGGGTACAGTTGTAATGTAGTTAAAAACACAAACAAAATGGTCTTTCCTTCTGACAATTAACAATTCCTTAGTTTTGTTCATCTGCTTGGTAAGATTTAGAATTATTCCAAATGTTGAGGCAGATCCACAGTTGTCATCTTATGGGCCTAATTATATCCAAATATCTACGAAGGCTATCATAGAATTGTAGAGTTGGAAGAGATCTTATGGGCCATTCAGTCCAACCCCAAGAAGCAGGAAAATCACATTCAAAGCACCCCTGATAGATGGCCATCCAGCTCTGTTTAAAAGCCTCCAAAGAAGGAGCCTCCACTGTTAGAGACCCTAAATTGGGTCTTCTTAGGTCCATGCAGTCACGGGAACACATAAGGAAGGAGACAGTCCTAAAAGAGATAAAAAAACAAGGTTTATCTTTAGTTTCTTCATGAAGAAGACGGACAGCCAGGCAACATACACTGATGCTACCCTTCAAGTGACTGCCGCGCTCTTGAAATCTGCATATCTTTATACCCCAGCGCAAACAATGTAAAAGAAGGGAAAATACCACTGACATCAACAACTTTAACCTTTTGCTGTGAGATCAACAATTTTAACCTTTAACAAAAGAAAACATTTTTTGTCATGGAAAGTACTCTCTTTCCAGCCCCTCCCCTTGACCTTTTGATGGAAAGTACCTTCTTGTACATGCAGACTCTGCACTTTACTACAACCTTTGAAGTTAACCACTACACAACATCTTGTATAAGAAAGTACCTTCTTGTACCTCTACATGTCACATCTTGTTTCTTTAAAACATTTTCTTCCGTATTGCTCTTTAACTACAAGAAAGGGTATATTTCTCTTGTGCTGTTAATTTCATTCAAAGCCCCTTGCTTAGCATCCTTCACCACCACAATTTGGGGAAGGGAGTTCCACTGCTAAACAGCTCTCACAGCCAGAAAGTTCTTCCTAGTACTCAGGTGGAATCTCCTTTCTTTCCTGTAGTTTGAAGCCATTGTTCCACATCCTAGTCTCCAGGTCAGCAGAAAACAAGCTTGCTCCCTCCTCGCTATGGCTTCCCCATGTATGTATACATGGCCCTTACCATGTCTCCTCTCAGCCTTCTCTTCTGCAGGCTAAACATGCCCAGCTCTTTAAGCCGCTCCTCATAGGTCTTGTTCTCCAGACCCTTGATTCTTTGAGTCGCCCTCCTCATTACACGTTCCAGCTTGTCAACATCTCCCTTCAACTGCAGTGCTCAGAATTGGGCAAAATGTGATTCCAGGTGTGGTCTGACCAGGGCAAAATAGAGGGGTAGTATGACTTCCCTCAATCTAGGCACTATACTCCTATTTATGCAGGCCAAAATCCTATTGGCTTTTTTAGCCGCCGCATGACATTGTTGGGTCATGTTCACCTTCCTGTCCACAAGGACTCCCAAGATATTTTTCACACACCCTGCTATGGAGCCAGGCATCCTCCATTCTGTATCTTTGCATTTCACTTTTCTGCCTAAGCTGAGTATCTTGCATTTGTCCCTGTTGAACTTCATTTTGTTAGTTTTGGCCAATCATCTCTCTCATGTGTTCAGATCGTTTTGAATTCTGCTCCTGTCTTCTGGATTATTGGCTCTCCCAATTTGGTGACGTCTGCATTCATTTACCTTATATACATGAGTATACCTTATCCAAAATGCTTGGAATAATAAGCATTTTGGATATTTTTCAGATATTGGAATTCTTTTCGTTTGCATATAAATACATAATGAGATATCTTGGAGATTAGATCCAAGTGTAGCCATAAAATAGAATCATAGAATCAAAGAGTTGGAAGAGACCTCATGGGCCATCCAGTCCAACCCCCTGCCAAGAAGCAGGAATATTGCATTCAATGCACCCCTGACAGATGGCCATCCAGCCTCTGTTTAAAAGCTTCCAAAGAAGGAGCCTCCACCACACTCCGGGGCAGAGAGTTCCACTGCTGAATGGCTCTCACAGTCAGGAAGTTCTTCCTCATGTTCAGATGGAATCTCCTTTCTTGTAGTTTGAAGCCATTGTTCCTTGTCCTAATCTCCATGGAAGCAGTAAACAAGCTTGCTCCCTCCTCCCTACCTATGTAACATAAATATCCTTATGTTACATAGGTACCTTCTACACACAACTTGAAAGCAATTTTCTACACAATAGTTTTGATAGCCCTAACCATCAGAAAGCAAAAATGTCACTATCTCAGCCACCTTGATGGAGAGTTTTGGAGTGTTTCAGTTTTTGCAATTCCGGATAAGTAATGTTCAACCTTTATTTTGTTTCAAGGGACATTAATTCCAAAGTGGAGTATGCTTCCCTCCATGGTTCATCTATGCCAGGCATGGGCAAACTTGGGCCCTCCAGGTGTTTTGGATTTCAACAGCCTCAGGCCCCTTCCTTTTCCCCCTCAGCCGCTTTTGGACTCAAACTCCCACAATTCTTAGCAGCCTCAGGTCCCTTCCTCAGGTCCAGTGTTTTGGACTCCAATTCCCACAATTCCTAACAGCCTCAGGCCCCTTCCTCAGGTCCAGTGTTTTGGTCTCCAATTCCCACAATTCCTAACAGCCTCAGGCCCCTTCCTCAGGTCCAGTGTTTTGGTCTCCAATTCCCACAATCCCTAACAGCCTCAGGTCCCTCCCTCAGGTCCAATGTTTTGGACACCAACTCCCACAATTCCCAGCAACCTCAGACCCTTTCCTAAAGTCCAATGTTTTGGACTCCAACTCCCACAATTCCTACCAGCCTCGGGCCCCTTCCTCGGGTCCTATGTTTTGGACTCCAACTCCGCTTAAGTGGCTGAGGGGGGAAAGGAAAGGGCCTGAGGCTGTTAGGAATTGTGGGAGTTGGAGTCCAAAACACCTGGAGGGCCCAAGTTTGCCCATGCCTGATCTATGTTCAATATCAAATCCCATTTGGGAAGCTTACAATGGTCAGGAATGAAATTCAAATTAATGGAAACTAAAGAGATAAAATTGGAATTAAGTGAAGCTAAAGATTATGCACTCTGCCTATGGCCTTGGGTACTGTGCTCCAATTTTTACACAAAACACGTTTCTACCTCTAATGAGAAATGAAATGTTCATTTTTTTATTTCCTGGGATTGCTTGTGACAAATCGGGATGGGCCACCCATTTAAATAGGTGAGTGGGATGGATTTGCCAAAGCAAACAGCTATGGAAACAGGATGGTCTGCAATTGTTTCCTTGCCAAATAACATCATTGTTGGCAGATTTTAGTGCCAAACGCCCAAGCCGGGCTTTGACTATGACGAAGTGCCAGGGCGAACAGGAAAAAGCGAAAACTTCTTCCTTCCTCTCCTGTGTTTCTCCCCCATTCAAAAGAGTACGGTATTCCATCCGGCTTGTTTTTCAAAGAAAGTGGCACTCACTTTTCCAAAAATTACTATCCTGCCTCATCCTATTGTGTAATGTTTATTTTGAAATCTTGCTTCCCAGTACTTTGCTGTGCCAATCGAAGGCAACAATTCTGGGAAATTGTTTGTGTTGGGGGTTGTTGTTGTTTGGTTTAGTGCTCTGCAATTTGGGGGTGCACTCTGCACATGGCCTGGGGCATTGTGATCCAATTTCTTTGCTCAAAACAATCTGCAGAATTTCATCCTTGGATGGTCACATTTTGCTGCAGACTGAGTTCTGGATGTATACTTTGGAGTTGGTAGATCTAGCAACATTTATTGCATGGGACACATCAGTGAGCCCGTTATAAATAGCTGGCATCTATTCCTGCCGAAGGCAACTTTGGGCATTCGAGGGAAGGAGGGGCATAATTATTTCGGCAAGCTTTCCAAAAACAGAATGGGAAAAACATTACAATCCATGGAATCATAGAGTTGGAAGAGATCCCAGGAGCTATCCAGTCCATCATCTTCTGCCATACAGGAACACGCAAGCAAAGCACTCCAAGCAGTTGGCCATCGTGTTTCTGTTGAAAAATGAAGGAAACTCTACCAGACTCCAAGGTATCATATTGCACTGGTAAACAGTTCTTATCAGGAAGTTCTTCCTAATGTTCAGGTGGAATGTCTTTTCTCTCAATTTGATGAGAAGAAGAAGAAGAAAAGTGGAGGAGGAGGAAGAACAAGGGGAAGACTATTTGTATTCTGCCCTATATGACCAGTGTATATATAGACATAGGTAAACATTCAATGCCTTGAAACAATGAAACACAAATACACAGACAAAGGCAAAGGCTTCCCATTTCACCTCCAGTTCTATGGGAAGTGCTCATCTCCATTTCCAAGCTGAGGAACCTGTGTTGTCCATAGACACCTCCTAGGTCATGTGGCCAGCATGACTGCATGGAATGCTGTTTACCTTCCTGCTGAGGTGTAACCTATTGATCTGCTTACATTTACATGTTTTTGAACTGCTAGGTTGGCAGGAGCTGGGACTAACAGTGGGAGCTCACCCTGTCCCACGGATTCGAACTGCCTACCTTCAGGTCAGCAAGTTCAGCAGCTCAATGATTTAACCCGTTGGGCCATCGCAGCCCTTTTAATTCAGTGTATCAGTCTT